GTTTTATACTCACCCATGCTTATTTGTAGGGGGAGCTTTCACTCTCTTCATTCTTTATGGTTTTCTCCTTTTTGATGTTGTCAAAGGGTAGGGGTGTCCAAAAGGCCCGGGCCCGGGTCGCCGTTGACGAGCCCTGTCCGGGCCTGGCCCGGCCCGGCCCGGGCCGAACGGTCACAAAAGTGACCGTTTGGCCGGGCCGGGCCGGGCTAACCCGGCCCGGCCCGGGCCAAACGGTCACATTTGTGACCGTTATGGCCGGGCCGGGCCGGGCCGGTTATGGCCGGGCCGGGCCGGCCATTCGAAGAACCAGTGCCCATTTTTGGGCACTGTTCCGGGCCCGGGCCGGGCCCGGACAGGGTTCGCCAACGGCGACCCGGGCCCGGGCCCGGACCCGGGTTTTGCCCGGGTTTCCGGGCCCGGGCCGGGCCCGGGCCCGGGCACGACCGGGCCGGGCCCGGGCCGGACACCGGGCCGGGTCCGGGCTCCGAGCTTTTTGGACACCCCTAGGATTATCCATATACTTGATTGCGTGAAGTCTTTACAGTTGGGTCACATGAAGGAATAACATTGGTTCATCCAATGAGGGTCAAAGGAAATTTTATATAAATTATTATATAATAAATATTACTTATGGAGTCCAATGAGTAATAATATGTGACCCGTGGAGCTGTAAAAGTTATTTAGAGCCCATTTGATTCGACCCAAAAGTTGGAGAACACCCTAAAAATAATTTCTAAAAAAATATGTCAGTGTTTTAATTTTATGGGCTGCTTTCAATATTTCTTTCAAGCTTGTTTTCTGAGAAATGAGTTCCCAAAATGTCATCTTAAGACACTTTTTTGGGAAAATTTATTTCCTAACTTTTTTAGAGGAAATTGGATGAAGTTGGTTAGAATAAAATATTTTAAGTAAAATAATTTTTTCCCCTCAAAATTAAGTTTTCTCATAATGGGAATTTTGAACCTAACCGCCCTTTACAACCAATGATGTAAATACTCTCTACCCCTTGTGGCCTACTCGGCATGCCATTTTCAATATGTTTTTTTTTAACTATGCGGTCGTCGCCCTCGTAAGTCGTAACCTTGTTTGTATGCAGAAAATTTACACCTATATAGTGTTAATATCAGAGTTGTTTATTAAAGCGACTTCGGCAACTTGCAATTAATTAAAGCGACTTGTAGTAGTTTTCAAGAAATGACTCGCCTTGCCTCCGGTACTTTCACAACAATATTTTCAATGTAAACCATTTGTACATTCAAAGTTACAAACTAAATTTCAACATTGCTCGACATTTATTAAAAGAAGATAGAAAAAATTACGGTTCTTTTATAAAGTGTCCATGGACACTCTATGAGAGAGGAGAAAGAGAGAGAAATGAATGAGAAGATGATCCCAATGCAAATCAGAAAACCTCCTTCTCTTTCATTTTTCTCTATCTCTCTCCTCTCTTATAGAGTGTCCATGAGCACTCTATAGAAAAACCAAAAAAATTATGCAAACTATGTGGAGCGATTCAAAAAACCAAACAAGCTTAAGATATGTAATTCCTCAAAACATAAGGACAGACGTGCTAACATTATCCTAAGTTCTAAGAAATAAAGCCTGAAAACAAATAACGCCATAATTTCCACCTCGATTTATACAAAAATAAAAGCCCTGCCCCCCTCCAACAACGAGCTAAGCTAAGCAGAGATCCCCTCAACGAATAAAAAAGCATGGGATTATTTATTCCTAACCCTCGAACCCTAGATTCTAATTTCCTCTACTAATCATCTCCTTGTACCTAATAATGGAGTCCAGTCTCTGAAGCTTCAGCTGCTGGTTAAACCTGTTGATGAAATCGTCGGCCCTAGCATCCACCTCCTCCGCCTCCTCCTCCACAGCCG